TTAAAATCAATCACATATAGCATCTGTAAAACATAAATATTACTATGAGTATGTTTGATAAAACTAGTTCATAGTTGATAAGTAATTTTCGAGTTTATAGCTTATAATTTATGACTTATAACTGAAAAGCTACCTTATAGGATAGAAGTGTTTGGTAAAATTAGCTGGTAAGCTAGCTAAAAAAAAAATTATCCCGCCATAATTATTTCGAATCTGCACACATGTAGCAACACAACAATGTCGTGTACTCTGTATAAATAAAAGCAAGCAAGCACACAACAACAAATTTAAGTAGTGCAAATCTCAATCTTTGAACACCCAAATTGCAATTTTGACAAGTAAATTACAAAGAGTACAAGGATACTGCTCAAACAAAAAATCACCAGAAAATTACCAAGGTAAGGAAAAACCAACCTTTAGATGCAATATCTCAAGGAAAGGGTAAACTTCCAACAAGTAATTAATACGTAAAAGATTAAAACCCGATGGGATCTTAGCATGTAAATCGAGCTTCTTTAGACATGACTTAGCAATGTTTGCAGAAGACAGTAGTTTTACTACCTGGAGATGAATAAAGAGAATCTGTTAGGAAAATGTAGCAATTAATACTCTGCTAAAAGTGAAAAAAAAAAGTATATTTTTTCAGTATTTCAACTAACATCGATCATCATGCATAAGGATAAAGCCTCGAGTTGAGGAGCATTTCTCCTGAGATTATCGAAAATCCCTGAGGCCGACAAACCGAATTTGAGCCATACGCCCACTTCTCTCAATATCGGGACGTAAGCAAATGCAATGTCTCCCGATTGTCCATAATATTTAAAAGATTCGAGATTTTAACAGTTTAGCTCGATTTTCATCACTTTTTCTTTAATGGCTAGTTTCTTCAAGCAATTGAGTTGAGTCCCATCGATCCGAAATACACTCGGCAGGGAACAATCAGACAATGTAAGTGATGTGAGGATTAAACCACCAGACAATATAAACCTCACGGAATACCAATATAAAGGCACACAATTCAACTCAAGTACAGTTAAACGACTTAACCAAATTTCACATCCGGAGTAAAAATGTAATTTGCATTTTCTCAGGCATAAACATTTCAACGAAGATGAGTACTTTTCAAACTCTTCAAGACGAGAGGGAAAGCGATAACTTTCATGATCGGTATGCATAAAATTAAGGTGAATGTCCTCAACGCCCATTCTAAGAGCAGTTAAAATCCACCTATCAATATGCGAAGCATGTTCATTTCCAAGGGCGAAATCGACACTTAGCCTATTTACTTTTGTACCCCTCCATAGCTCCATAAACT